CTCTTTACTGGCTGGAGCATCCATCCAAACCACACTTGTTATGAGTATTGGCTGCTAGGTTCACAGGCATTCCTTTCTGCAGACAATTGCCCTCAGCTGAAAGACAGTCTCATTTCCAGGAGGCCTCTGGAAACTGATGGGGGCAGCCAACAGCCAATGACAAACTCATGGGCTATACCAAAGGCTGCTTTTGCCTCAAGATGGAACTAAATTTGCTGCAATTCATGTTCCAAAGCTGTGCTGCCTAATACAGTAGTAACTAGCCACATATAGCCATTTAAATTTGTTAATTAAATTTAAATGAGATTTAAAATTCAGTTCTACCACATTTCAAATGCTCATGTAGCAACGTGTGGACAGTGGCTCCTGTGTCAGTGAATACAGAATATTTCTACCATCACAGTTAGTTCTATTGCAGAGTCCTGCTCCAGCTTCTTACGGCATCAGGCTCATGCTATGTTCCACCTGAGATCACATCCTTGCTTAACAATGTTCTCTGCTCTATTTGCTTCCCTCACTCTCTTTATGCTGAGAACATTCCCTCAATAAACAGCATTTGATGGAATTCCTACTTCAGCCTCTTCTCCCACAGAATCTGAACTAAAACACTGTAATGTTCAGTAGACCTGTCATTTTCAACACAGTGATAGATCCACTTCCCCCTCCTTTATATATCCTCCATTGCCATCAGTGTCCAGTCCTAATAAGTCTGAGTTCAGCTCAGGCCTATGAGACAGAAGCGTTATTAAAGAAGTAGCAATTCAGTCATAACCCCTGGACTGTGGTAATATTTTTTTTTTTTTAAAGATTTTATTTTTTCCTTTTTCTCCCCAAAGGCCCCCGGTACATAGTTGTATATTCTTCATTGTGGGTCCTCTAGTTGTGGCATGTGGGACGCTGCCTCAGTGTGATTTGATGAGCAGTGCCATGTCCGCGCCCAGGATTCGAACCACCGAAACACTGGGCCGCCTGCAGCGGAGCGCGCGAACTTAACCACTCGGCCACGGGGCCAGCCCCCTGTGGTAATTTTAAGAGCACTTTTTCACTATTCATTCAGGAACTGGATATGGCAGAGTTTAACATGAAATATATCAGTGAACGTTGTATAATTTGAAATACGTTAAATACAGACATTATCTTAAGATCTTTTTTCTTTATAATGTGTAGTTTGCATACTGGGTATCCATTTTTCTTGAAATATGTATTCTTCCACTAAAATTTTTAGTTATATTGTATGACAATATTGTGCAATTACTGCAATTGTAAGCTACTACTCTACCACCCGATATGTGTGAGTACTAAACATTTAACCTATCTCATTTATGCCTGTTCTCTTGATTTTTATTGGAAAGTTGTGATCTTGTGAGTTGTCATTTCCCATTATATTCTTTTGTTGATGATAGCTGTTACATAGAATGCCATCTTTATTTGTCTTGTAGAATCTATTTGCTTTTATTTTAGCTATTTGAAATTTTTTTATACATGTGTCTTTGGTTTTTCAGTTATTTATTTTTTTGTATCCAAAGTAATAATTGATGTGTAATTTTTATAGTAAAACTTTCTTATATTATGCGATATCATCATAGCAACAAAGGAGACTATTTCGTGTTCCTGTACCTAGGATGAGTGATTCTAACATTTCCAGTCATTATTATTTATATAGTTGCTCTAATATGAATCAATCTTACTGCATTAAGTCAATTGACGCTTATCTAAACAGAGATGATGATTCCCAGTCAAATTACACAATTCTTTAAATGTGGTAGGAAAGAAATGAAATGAAATTTCTCATGAAACCATAGTAAAAAATATTCCTTCTCTTGGAAGATTGCTTTTGTGGTGGTGCAAACAGCTTTAGGAGGGATGGGTGCTGAGTAAGAAAGGAAGAAGGGAACAAAGTGACCCAAATCAGCAGAACATCCTCTTGAGAATCAATGGGTTAATACATCTTGCAACTAGGTCTTTCCCATATCCAGTCTTCCAAAAGGGTAATACTTTTCCTGAATTGTAATGAGAAAAATTAAAGTAAGAAGGTAGAATATGACATTAGTATCCTAATTACCTCCCAGTGTGCTCTCCAGTGTGGCACTGGAAGCTATTGTAACAACAGAGACAATCACATTTTTTTTCTGTTTTAGTGGGCATCTTCTTTGCCTGATATTTTATTTTTCAACCTAAAATCATATTCATTTTTATACCTCTCAGATAGGTATCCATTCAACATTCTTTTTAATCACTATACACATTTTATCGTGTAAAGCATCAAATGGTTTGTAAAACTTCCTCTCCCAGGGTATTCTCTTTTATCAACCGCTGTATTGGTCCTCATTGATATGATAATATAAAATACATCATTATTTTATTATAATGGTGCATTGTTTTATTGGTGTTTTCCTTGGATGGGTTAGCAATTTAATTTTTCCCTCCTTGGCTTTTATGCATGCTTCTTTTATTAGATACAATTCAAAAATTAGCCAGCAATTCATTTCAGATGAGTGGCTCTATATTTGTGTATGTGTGCATGAAACCGAACCATGGTTTGTTTTTGACACCTGCTGTTCTGAGCAGGTGTCAGTCAGGGAATGTATCCTGTCCTTGCACATTTAGACTGTCTTCCTCTTTTATAATTATGTCTTTTGTGAATTTTTTTTTTGCATAGATTTTTTGTGTATAGCACTGATCACATCCTTTTAAGAAATGAAGGGAAGTATGAAATATTGTGAAATCCTATATCCTTGTCATGTGAGATGATTCCTCTGAATTTTAATACACTCATTTGATTGACAAAAAAGTAATGTGGTGGTTAAGAGTACAAACTTTGATATCAAAGGATCCTGGGTTTGTGTCAAAACATTTAGGAGTTTACTGCCCTTCAGTAGGGTATTTAATCACTTTAATCAACTTCTTCATGTGTATAAAGGAAACGGTAATACATTTCAAAAAATTTTTGAAAGGTTAGTTGAGATTATGCATGTAAATATTTTGGAATATGTCAAATACTCAATAATACCAGCTAGTTTGAGTATTAATATTATCAAGTGTAAGTAGCATATCAGTTCAGCCTCCAACCTTTGGATACTGTAATTTTTCAAACTTTAAATGCAAAAGAATTTTTATTAATTAGATATTGTTATTTTTTCCAGATATGAGCTAATACTCTTTCATACTGTTGTTTGGGATTGAGTGTGGACTTAGGTTAGTTTAACTTATCCTTCTCTTTTTTTTTTATTATATGTGCTTTAATATTTCAAAACATATGACTGCTTTTGGTGTTTATTTTCCTTGCAACTAAATTATGGGACAAGGAAGACATTTATGTCAGTGATAGAGGATACTTCCCAGCTTCCTCTCTACCACTTAGTCTTCTTCCGTTTGATCTTTACTTGTTTTTCATTCAGATTTTATTAACATTTGTTTTATGCCAGTTTTGTACCAATTTCTTTTACACATGAGTGGGTCTATATGCTAATCTGATTTAGTTTTTTTTTTTTTTGGTGAGGAACATTGGCCCTGAGCTAACATCTGTGTGCCAATCTGCCTCCATTTTGTATGTGGGTCACTGCCACAGCATGACCTGATGAGTGGTGTAGGTCTGTGATTTAGATTTTAAAAGTCTTGGAAGAATAAACAATTTACAGTATGCCTAACCATTTGAAAATGATAGATCTGAATTATTCATTTTCTGATTCCACTTTGGTCAGTGTGTGACCGTGCTTACACAATACTAAGTGGCTAGATGAAAATGACAATCAACTAACCTTAGAGGCAGCAATGTATTTGCTTCAGTGGAACAAACTCTACAGATAGATCCTAGAATGATGTATATATAAAATTAACCTAATGTGGATGGATGTCCTTTGATTTTTACCAAACCAAACTATCATTTCCTTTATGCCTTTACTTCTATTACTTTTAGTTTCACAATATATCTTTGACTTGCCATTGCTTTGGGAATGCATCTGTCTTTATCTCTATGTATTTATCTCTTTAATTATCTTATCATAGGGAGGGATGTAAATCATTACAATTTGTACATAGATTACACAGTTAGATAACTTTTTAAAGTGTTACTTCTAATTAGAATGTTGATAGGGAATAATCCCACCTCTCTCAGCAAATTGGCACACTCTAGTTGTTGGTGATATGTGAAATCGAAATCACCAGAAGGAAAAGGAAAGTGTTAGCCATTGTTTTAAGAGTTCTGATTCCAACTGAGTATGCATAGCCAATGAATTTTCAGAGTTCTTGTTAAATTAGTATATTAATTTTAGGCATCTTAAGGGCAAAAGTTAAGCATTGTAATTGAATGGTGGCATTTTCTTAATGGGTCTGAATATTTAATTGTTTTACCACCAAACAAAAAGATGAGGGTAGCTCTCACAAATATAATGTATTAGGTAGAGAAGAGAGGCAAAACTCCCAAAATTGTGTATATGTAGCACTATTAGTGAAATTCTGAATGTAATTTAATCCTTTGTATAAATACATTCTAGGCCATAATTTGATTGATCTGAGTGCATTTTAGAGATTATCTTTTACTATATTCTATTACATGTGAGGTACCTGCAAATCCAGTTGTGTAGAATTATAAGACATGCATTTAAGATAACCTCTCTCCCTCTGTCCACATTCCTTTCTTATTCTTTCTGATCTCTGTCCCCATTTTCCCTTTTTCCCATTCTCTAAATTGTACATATATACTTACTGAACTTTAAATTCTATTAAACGCAATCTGAAACAGACCTTTTATACTTACGACTGATGCAAACACAAGGCCCATCATTTGATTTTTTTATATTAAATATCAATGATAATATTTTTTGCAATATGTGAAACTAAATTAGTATAAAATATGTCAACCGAAGAGTACATCATTTACTCAAAGAGTTGCGTTTAAAATCCTTTGGTCATGTCTTTTAAACATTATAGATTCTGCCCCCTTTCCATTTTGGGGGAGGCATCTTTTAAAAATTGCTAAATGCTTGGTCTCGACAGGAACCATGTGCAGACAAAGGATGGAACAGAAAAACGGAAGTTCTCTCACTGGGTTTCTCCTACTAGGTTTCTCTAACAGGCCTGGACTGGAGCTGGTCCTCTTTGTGGTTCTTTTGATCTTCTATATCTTCACTTTGCTGGGAAACACAACCATCATCGCATTGTCCCACCTGGACCCACATCTTCACACTCCTATGTACTTTTTCCTCTCCAACCTCAGCTTTCTGGACCTGTGTTACACTACCAGCATTGTTCCCCAGCTCCTGGTTAACCTCAGTGGAGCAGACAAATCTATCTCCTTTGGTGGTTGTGTAGTTCAGCTGTTCATCTCTCTAGGATTGGGATGCACTGAATGTATTCTCTTAGGAGTTATGGCATTTGACCGTTATGTGGCTGTTTGCAGGCCCCTTTACTACACAGTAATCATTCATCCTCGTCTCTGTCTCCTGATGGCTTCTGCTTCATGGATGTTTGGTGTTGCCAACTCCTTATTGCACACAGTGGTCATCTTCCTTTTACCCTTTTGTGGGAGAAAGAAGTTAGACCACTTCTTTTGCGAGATTCCTGCATTGCTCAAGCTTGCCTGTACTGACATCACTATGATTCAGTCTGAGATCTTTTTTGTCAGTGCCTTGGATCTTCTTTTACCGGTTGCATTTATCATGTTCTCCTATGGTCGGATTATCAGGGCCATCTTAAGGATAAAGTCAGCAGCAGGGCAGAGAAAAGCATTTGGGACATGTGGATCCCACCTCACAGTGGTCACCCTGTTCTATGGCACAGCCATCTATGCTTATCTCCAGCCCAGCAACAACTACTCTCAGGATCAGGGCAAGTTCATAGCTCTTTTCTACACCATTGTTACTCCCATGATCAACCCCCTCATCTATACACTGAGGAACAAGGATGTGAAGGGAGCAATGAGGAAGGTGCTTTGGAAGGACTATGACTCCAGATGATGACACGAGGAAGACACTTTAATGGAAAGACTTTGAATACCAGAGCCCTTAAGTTGTCTGTGTTCTCCAAGATTCATCCAGAAGGTCCCTTGACAGCTCTCTAGAGAATTTCCTTACATCATTCTCCTATGAAAATGGGTGTTCAAAATCTAAGTTCATGGATTCATATCAACCTCCAGATATGCCGATTCTATTTTATAGAACATCTGCCTTTTATTTATTGTTTTTAAAAGCTCCACAGTTTTTTCTTATTTGCGGTCTCATTTGGAAACATTATTCCATTTCTACTTGCAAAAAGACGTTAAAGTACATACCATAAAGGCACAGCTAAATAAGAGCATGAAGCCACTGGAACATTGTAAGAAATATTAACATTTTAGCATTCCCCATCAATTACTGTGGTGATACCACTTAGTCTTGCATTTTGGGCACGGCTCTGTTACAAAGTCCAAAGTTTGACCGTATGATCTTTTTCATAGAAGTAGGTGGAGAAACTGGGGAAAAAACAAACTTTAAGCTCAAAGAAAAACATGCTAACATCAATCCTGATGAAGCCATTCAGAAATTAGGCTTAACTGTGACCTCACCAGGGTGGCAGCCATTATGTGACATTCATTTCACAGAAGGCTGTACATAGGATCACTGAGTGAAGGATGTGATGCAATGCTGCTAGTGACGATGATAGCTATTAGCTGGTAATAACACCAGGTAGTGCTTATGTATAACTTTCTACAAAGCCATAAAAACAATAAGGTGAAGTATGGGAGTTGGTTGTTTTAACTTTGTGAGCCACTTTCATTTTTAAAAATGACTTTTGTGGACAAGATCTTATCTGAGTAGTACATGACACAAGTCCGATTTCAGATTCTACACATTTCACCTACAGTAATGCAGCAAAGGTTTCAAAGGGTAAAATATGTTTAGATTTTTCTCTTGTTTCTGTTTTACAAATTCTTTGAAACTGGTATCAGTTGATCAGGGCTTTGGATCTCATATGCGGCAAAGGCCTGATTTAATTTGAATTCAGTGACATGTTACAAAATTATGGCAAATGGCCCCTTAATCCCATGATATTCCCTGTTCTGTTGTAACTTGCTCAGATTTGCTATGAAAAATTTAAGAATAAATAAAGTGCATATTAATTATTAAAAATCTCTATTTGCCTAAGCTTTACAAACAGTCATCTCATTACAAAAAAACTGTCACAGGGCAGGCCGATGGCAAGGTGGTTAAGTTCAATGCTTTCTGCTTCAGTGGCGTGGGCTCACGGGTTCAGATCGCACTCAAAGACATGCACCACTCGTCAAGTCGTGCTGTGGTGGCGACTCACATGCAAAATAGAGGAAGATTCATGCATATGTTAGCTCAGGGCCAGTTTTCCTCAAGCAAATAAAAGGAGAAGACTGTCAACAGATGTTAGCTTAGGGTCTATCTTCCTCAACAACAACAAAAAAACCATCATAAAATTCTGAATTATGAGTAATAAATATAAACATTCCAGAAAAATTTGAGCCTGACGTTCTGGCCTTTGATCCTCACTCAAGGTCAGTTTGCAGTATTAATTTGTTTTGGTGGTATGGATCCTGGTTTTTGTATATATTAACTATCATGAACAGTGTATATTACCAAGAAAGTTAGAGCTTTGACAATGTCATAATCACAAAAATGTTCAGATTTTTGGTAGGTTTTCCCAACATGTAGCACAGTGCAGGTAAATATCTGTGTGTCTCTGGGTGGAGACATAAGCATAACAATTATCATAGAGTTCCATATCCTGACAGCTAACTTACATCCTCCTTCTTGAACCCCCACAGTTGATCATGCTCATGACAGGAGATCTTACAACAAAGTCAGCATTTGGCAAGCTGGAAATGACAGCAAGGGTAAATTATACACAAGGGTAAATAATTTACAAGAGTAGATTATTATATAGATGGGTAAGATTCCATCTATATCCCTGATACATCAGAATATTCACACTTGAAATCAACGCTTGGGAAACCATATATTTTGATGCTATAGTAATGCTTAATATATACTAGTATAAAAACTGGTTTTGGAATACTGTTTACCCACAATGGTGACGAATTTCCCACTCTGCATTATTGTTCAACAACACTCCGATACTTATACCCAAATGGTCACTTTAAAATCCCTCAAACGAACTTTCTTTGGTGCAGAAAACCTCAAGGTCTCGTGAAGGCACAGAGCCTATTGTTCTGGCTGAGCAACTACTTCTCTTCTCTTAAGGACACAAACCGCTGCCATCAACAGATTTATTTTCTTTAAGTAAATGTTTGAATGGCATTTGAATAGTTACATTTATTGGGAATAAATTACAGATAATAAGCTGTCTGGGCCCCATGATAAAATTTTTAAAAAATCACTTAGGAGGTCAAACACAACAAGTTCAGTATCGTGCTGTAACATTTTTGAAATGGGATCTAAGAACTCTACCTTCTCTAGCTCTCCATGCTTTGTGTATAACAGACTACAGGGCTGTGTCAACTGTCGCCAAAATTATTTGGACTCTTTCCTTATGAATCCTCCCACCAACAACTGTGGAAAGGCTGCAGTGATTGTACCCAGGGCTTGGCCAAATTCTTTTATCCCGTCTGTGTTGAGCATCTGGAGTTCAGGACTGTCATTATGCCCTACAGCGATTCAAGTATTCTTTTAGCCTTTTCACCTTTTATCTGAGGAATACAGGGTGCACTCCATTGACTCAGGTGATGAGTGATGACAGAGACCCAAAATGTCAGTCAGACTCACATGACAAACAATTCTTAATCAGAACAAAATTTACTCACAATAGCAAAGGATACAAAACAGGAGCGACAACACATGCAATATCTATGAGGTCCTGATCCAGTCAGACACAACATCTCGAGCGCCCCTTTCTACAGTGGAATGCATTTTGTTTGGAACATGGGGCACTAACTTGCCTGGTCCAAGTCAGCACTGAGAAGACTTGGGAGTTTCTCAGTTTATATGTGTCCCCACCATCGTAGCCCTGTCCTGGCTTTAGGAGCAAGCTTTACACATTAGTACAACTGCAGGCTGTATGCTGTAGGTTTACTACCCTCTAAACAGACCCTATACATCCTGCTATCAGCATTACTAGACCAGCAATCAGTATGTAGCAACCCTGTATGACCTTCATGCACCCCTAGTCAGGACATTTCAGCGGTTACTGTTTGCCAGGGTTCTGAGACCAGGCTCACTTAGAGGGAGGAACAGGTTACAGATCCCTGACAACCCTTTCCTTTGCAGGCGATTTCTGATCTGACCTTTGTGTGTAGCGTAGATGAGAGCTTTCTTCCATGTTTTTGGTATCGTAGCATATTTCAAATCTGATTTGCAGACTCTGGACACCACTGCATATGGAAATGTCTGTGGAATGTGGTTTTCTTGGAAGGTGGGCTCAGAACAGTTGCAGAAACGAGAAGATGAATGTCTCCTGAATCAGAGAGATCGGGGCATGGCATCCCAGAGATAGCTGTAGGAACAGGATAGTCTTGCTCCTTCTTAAAAAATCAATTGTGTTGATTTAGTTTTTGGTGGATTTATTTTAACCATTCTAAACCGAATAAAATCTACTGCAAGTTCTTCTAATTAGGCAACCGTTTCTGAGGATAGTTTAAACCTTCTTTGAGAGTGAAGGGGATCAGTTTTTGTACCTGTGGCTGTTGTCTCAGTGAAGCATCTGGGACATTTCTTTTCTTCCTTTTTTTTTTTTTGAGGAAGATTAGCCCTGAGCTAACTACTGCCAATCCTCCTCTTTTTGCTGAGGAAGACTGGCCCTGAGCTAACATCCATGCCCATCTTCCTCTACTTTATACGTGGGACGTACCACAGCATGGCTTTTTGCCAAGTGGTGCCATGTCCGCACCTAGGATCCGAACTGGCGAACTCTGGGCCGCCAAGAAGCTGAAAGTGAGAACTTCACCGCTGCACCACTGGGCCACCCCCAGGACATTTCTAATGGTTGGGTCATTTGGGATAGTCATGATCAATGCAATGTCATAGTCAGTTGTCAAAGCCTTTCTCAGGAGCCCATTCCTGATTCTATGTTAGCAGGCCAGAAATAGGGCCTACTGAGTATTTTAAAGGCCTTATTTCAGGTATTTGAAAACTGTTTGCAAGATTCTTTTTGGAAAGTTGCTTTATTAATTTATCTACCGGACTGAGAACTCTCTTGTTTAAATGTATTTAAAAGAACATCTTGGCTGACAATGTGTCATTTTTAGCATGAAATCCTCCTCACTCTGGGTTTATTTACTCCCCACTGGAAAAAAGCATCCCACACTTCTCAAAGAATATTTCTCCTCATATTCCACCACAACATGTTACATTTTTGGCTTGCATTTGAATTGAAGTAACACATATATTATATTTTAATTAATATATGTTAATATGTTATTACACATACATACATACACACATATATACATACACTAAGCATGTGCTCTACTTGTAATCTCTTGTAGATTAATCTCTTATCTCTTTCCTGAAGATGAATAGTAGAAGGAAATATGTTTCCTTTAGCTCAAACTACGTAGAAGGTACAGGCTTGTCAACGATGTAATTCCAATGTTTTCTGAAATAAGTACAAATATACACAAGTGAATATCATACTATAGTTTATTCCTGCAAGCACACTGTAAAGAAAAACAGCTTACCAGTAGATGGTGGGAGTATCTGCCATGACAGAATCTTGCTCTCCTCAAGAGCTCCATGGAATAAATCATGGCCCTTTTGCTGTTATAATAAATACACATAAGTTAAAAAATTTGGAAGGGTCATTCTTTCTGGCCCTCGATTAAAATTTGGATCACAGAGAGTAGATTGTGTTTGTAGGTAGAATAATGCTATAACACTCTCATTTTGTCACTGTGTAGAGAAATATTTTATTAAACAGTAGTAAAATCTGGCCTTAGGAGAGGAAGAGTAGGCGAGATGCAAGAAATAAATAATATCTCTTGTTTTTATTTATTTAT